TATATATATATATATATATATATATATATATATATATATATATATATATATAAAAGTTAGGTTCACATGAGACCAAAGATTTTTTATGAGACCCGTAAAACCAATTTATATTCATTGATCAACTTTATAAGTTAATGATCTAACGGTCTAAAATTGCACGGTGGCAATTTTGTGATTATTGAGAAGTCTCGTGGCGTTTATGAATGTTCAGATTGTCATATTGTAGATCTAATCCAAGAGTTGAGAATTGGTCTTACGGGTCTCACGAAAAACCATTGGTCTCACATGATCCCAAGTCTATATATATATACATGTATATACATATATATATATGTATATATATATATAGATATATGTGTGTGTGTGTATATATATATATATATATCATGTCATTTCAACGTATGCCATGTAATTTGCCATTACTAAAAAGTTACGAGTAGAGTAATGATCAGGGGTTTAAATATCAACAAATATGAGAAGCACGTATGAATTTATTTACTACCATACACAAATAACATATATTTCAAGAAAAAAAAATGTTTATTAACGTATGTTTATCATTACAATATCAACTGCAGGTGCATTGATGTATGCAGTCAAGACATTCTAACCAACACGAAGACTAGAAGCCATTCTTATAACGCTATTTCAATCTTCCTCCAAAACCACGAACATGCTTGAAGCTAGGAGTACTCAAATGTTAGGTTGATCGGGTTGAATGCATTTGAATAATCCAACCCAATGTTTGTGCTTCGAAATATCTCAATCCAACCTGTACGAGTTGGTCCGGTTGATATTTTGGTACATCAAAATATTCTCCTTACTTTGAATATGTTGTTTTCTCTGCTCATAATTCCTTTTTGATCATCAATCATTTGATACAGCTTATCCATGCTCCTTAAATCTTAATTATATCACATTTAACTACTTTTCTCAATTTACATATATATGTTCATATTTTTCGAACATATATACGAAAGAGTTATATAGCAATAGAGAAGAGAATGAAAATATATGTCTATGAGGAAGGTACGTTATGGTACAATTATCTAATGTACATATTAGTAGGGGTTAACAATCATGTTAAATTCAAGCAATAAAATGATATCGGGTTCATCAAGATTCCAACCCAATACCAACAATTTGAAGATTTTACAAGTCGATTAGACATTGGGTTGCTTCAGGTTGAATTATTTGTCGTTGGTTGAGTTAACTGGGTTGGACGACTTTTTGAGCACCCCTACTTGAAGCAATAGCTGCCCCAACTTATTTTTCTTTCAGAAATCAACCACTTATTTCATACCTTTATGTTATCGACTGATTTACATCATCGACCCCTTTCATCGGATTGTCATTAGCTTTATCTAATTTCACCTGTGCTGTTGTTTTAGCCAATCGACTAGTTATATTGATTCAGGATCATCTACGATCCAGCATGTGTCTTTGATCAAGTTATCGGAAGGTTTTTTGTATCACTTTAGAGCCAAAACTAGTCGATTATCAGTTCTGTTCTAAATTTAAGGCTTCTGCATCATTCTGGTGTTATCAGTGGCTGTCAAGTTGTCTAGTGCTCATCTTCCTCAACAGGACTCTTATGGGAACTGCAATGGCATTTGTAGTAAACAATTTGGTTCAATTTATCATACAAGGATTTCACTTTTTGCTGCTTGATCTATACAATGCTTATTTGGCTCTCAAATGCACTTGAAACTATTGCTGCTCAACATTCATGACGAATAATTTTCATGAATGTTCTTAAGTTTATGTATCAATGAAATAATAGTCTCCTTAGATATGTACAGATATATCTGTTTGTGTCTATATAGGAGCAGGGTGCGTTAGGAATCTCATCTTCATTAAGAAGAGAGGGACTACCCACAACACAAGAAGTAGCATATGTGATTCATGATGAATAACACGTCCATATTCATCTTGAAAAGGGACACATGGTGTGTTGTGGATGATTATGGGTTCTCAATCGAGCTTTCCTATATATAGACTTGTATATGAACGTACATACATACACGTGCATAGACACCAATAAAATGTGATGGACAAAACAAGACTCATTGAAACAGGGGTTGTGGCGTAGCGGTTGAGTCCTAGGGGGGATGTGGTGGAATATACCATCTTATATAGGTTCAATTCCAAGAGTCCATAACAATTGTGGCCACTGAGTTTATCAGGGTTGAAGTCTTATAGTGACAATTTGCAGGGATTACTCTCGGCATAACCTGGGACACCCTTTCAAAAAAACAAGACTCATTGATGTTGTTCATTACTTATATGTAGGGGCACAAAAGATACTAGTTATCCACTTATCCTTTCATCAAATTGTTCAAAGCTATATCAAGATGAAATAACTACAGCACACACAATGAAGACTCTGAATAGTTCATTCTGTTCGAATGACAAATATATATACACATAGTTGTATTGTATTGAATGAATTCGAGCTAAAGAATTCTGTGACACGTAGCCTTATGCCGATGCAAAGCTCCATGGACTGCTTAATACGTGCAACCAAACCGAAAGACAAAGTGTCATGACAGTATAAGATTTTGTACTCACGTACCTGTAAACTTCACGACCCTTACCAACTGCCTCTTCATGAACCACATCAACCCTCCGTTTCATGCCCGTGGATAACTGGTCCAAGAAGAAATCCAAGAAAGATCTTACGGTCGCGAATGTAACCCTCCCAGTCATATCAAGAACGAGCCTTCTGTTACTAGGGACTGCCAAGGTCGAAGAAATCTTGCTCACAAACCCATTGCTCCGGCTTTTTCTTGATTTCATTCCATTCAAGATCAATTCGTTCCCATCCGAATTTGAAATAACTTGGTGGGAAGTTTTCACTAATGTCTCTATAGCACCGTTGCAAAATGTAGCTAACAAATCCCTTACTTTTTCTTCGTGTTTAGGGTTCGTTAAGCCTGATAAGATCTGCTCATAAGGGTTGACATCCATGGTTTTGTCAAGGTAAACGGTCACCAAGGTGCTCACAAACTGCTGGATACAATCCCCAATCAGTTTCCTGCATTTCTCTTCAGCAATTACATCTACCCACTTCTGGACCGAACTCTCTGAGCTTCTCGAACCATTGATATGATACCCTTCACTAACCCCTCGATCAGCATAAATCGCCATAACCATATTCTTAGCAAAACTTCCAACAACAACAGAAACAAAACCAGATCCAGCAGGTGAAAACAGTTTATCCAAAGCTCGATCCGGAAAACTGTTACCTGGATCACCTTTTCTAACTCCAACCCTGTAACCCCTCAAAATCCCCACGGTAAAAGCTCTTGTAACATGAACAATTGACTCCGAGACTTCATCAGATCTCATAATCTTTGACAATTGCCTCAAACTATTTGGGATTTCGTCTGAATCAGATTTTATAAATTCTTTCAAATCCTTTGAAACAACTCCTATTGTCTCGGCAGAATCACCAAGTAATTCAGCAATTGAAGCTAAAGCACCTAAAAGTTTCGTCAACCTCTCCCTCTTCTTAACCATAGAAGGTAAGTTATAAACCCTAATTGCACCATAAGTTGAAAACCCTATAGCTGCAACGAGAAGGAGCAATTTCTTTCTCCTTTGGGTATAATCCAAACTCTTCTTCACAATATCCAAATCCATATAACAAAGAATTCAACAGAAATATGGTTCTTGATTTCCTTTACGTAATTAAGAACTAAACAATCGAAACTCCCCTAATGATTATTGACCTAGGGTTTGCAATTGCAGATACGGATAAACAGATAAATTCGTAAAATCAACATACAAATACTCCTAATCGTATCTGTATTCGGGTGATGGTGTATATTTTATGCGATTTTACGAACCTCGAGAACGAAGGGGGAGAAGCAGTTGCAGAATCTTGCGTCGCCGAGTCTACTGCACACCTACGTTTCAATCACCTCGATCTTGATATTCTGATCCACTTCGACATATCCGTCTTTATAACATGTTAATTTCACTTTAACCCCCTATAGTTTGAGGATTTTAAAATTGGCCCCTATATTACTCACAAAGTTGAGGAAGCACTTCCAACCACCCATCTTTTGACTCTATCTTGCAGTTTTTTTCTGGGCACGGATGAACGTTCAGGACTCAAAAATATCAAGGGTTCAATTTTTTTCGTTTATATTAAGTAGTCTATATTTTTTAATAAACTAAATAAACTCAAAAAATTATAACATATAATAAGAGACAAAGAGAATTTAGTAGATAATAAGGACCCAAAAATATATCAATTAATTACATTGAAGAAGAAAATAAAAAAATTATTTGGCCATTCAATTTATGCTATTGTTTATTGTCTATCTAATTTTTTTATCTCCAGCAAGGTCCAATGACATTGGTTATTGCTATCTCTATATGCTTGATTATTTTTGTGTTTCAACAATTCAACGTTAAAATTATGTGATTGCTATTGCTATGTATTTTTGTTTGATATTTTTATTTATTTCTGTTTCTATTTACTATTGGTATTTGGTTATGTTGTTCTAATTGTTTTTGTTGACTATTGTTATTTATTTTTGCTTTTACATGAAATATTTTACTATTATTTGACAATCAATCTATTGTTCTTGTGATTTATGATGTGTTTCATAATTTTGTAATTAATCAATTTTGTCGTCGCTAAAAGTCTTGTTTCTTATAGTGATCTTGTTTTTATGTTCGTTCAGGGCCTATGAAACGTCAGGAACGAGTCTGATATTTTTGTGATGCATATGTTGACAAAACACATAAAAGTATTATTGTTTTATGTATTTTTTTTAATTGTGTAATTGAATAAAAAAGTTTTTCTCTTGAAGTAAATTGAATAAAAAAGTTATGGATCATTGTATCAACCACATTATTTTTTTAGAGTGGATTACATCTTGGTCCCTCATCTATGTTTACTTTTTGGTTTTCATCCCTTGATTTCGTAAAGTACATTTTTGGTCCAAATTTTGTGTTTTTAATCCCCAAATAAGTCCCTCCTCACTAACACCGTTAGAGGAGGCCCCGTTAAGTCAGTCACATGAGTGGCATTTTAGTCTTTTTACTTTAACTCTTTATTTTAAAAGTTAAAACTAAAGTTACACCAACTTCTCCTAGAGATGGCCAAAATGGGTCGGGCCCCACTCGGGACCGACATAGGACCGGGACAGGGGCAAAGATCGATTTGGGTCACGCCCGGTACAATTTTATGAAATTCACGGCCTTACCCGGAACTGGTTATACATAGATGTGAATTAAAAATATAAGTTTTTATAAACTATATATCATTTTTTTAGATATTTCTACAATATTTTCAAGTTTTGTGAGTGTTCCAGTACTAAATATCAAAAAATGTAATTATAAAAAATCTATAACATTTTTGTGTAAAAACATTTAAAAAAAGTATTTTAAAATGGTATTTGAATGACCCAATTAGAGATTAAAAATGTATTTCAATAAGATATTGTTTAAAAAAGAAAATCTTCAAACAAGATTTTTTTTACCTTCAAAATTGATTTTTGGGGGAAAAAAATTGAAGCCAGTGTGAGCCCAGCTTAGAACTAGTTACAAAACATGGAGACAAGCCATGGGTTTTTGGTTGGGACTGGGACCGGTTACTAAAAGGAATCAAGGCTAGTGACAGATTTGGTCTTGGTCCAGGACCGATTTTTGGTCATCTCTAGTTCTCTACTGCATAGGGTGAAAAGCTAAAAACCCTAAACCATTATGTTAGCCCCCCATCTCTTTCTCAATCACCAGATCAACATCATCACCGTCAAATAATATCAACAGTACCACCAGTCGTCGCACCACCATTAGAGGTCGAAGATGATGTCCCTCCTTGGGGTGTGGTCTTGATGGCTAATAAAAATGACCATATGGCTGTAGAAAGATGACAGGAGACGACCAAATTGGGGTGTGGTCCTAATTTATGCTTATTTTTTTCTCTTTAGCCTTATACACTTGTACGATAAAAAATTCATTGAACATTAGCAGTAAAAAAAAAACTAAAATGCCTCTCATGTGAAGGACACATGATTGACTTAATGGGGGCTCCTCTAACCGTGTTAGTGGGAGGACTTATTTGGGCTTAAAAACAAGGGATTTGGACCAAAAATGTACTTATGAATTCGAGGGACGAAAACCGAAAAGTAGTCATAGACGTGGGATCAAAAATGTAATTCACTTTTCATACATCTATACTATATTATAATGCATTTGGCTAAAACTCTTAAAAACTCTTAAACTCTTAAAATTCTTAAAACCGTTCATCCCTATCCGATTTCATCCCATAACTGAATTCGTGTAACTAACTGCAGATAAACACAATCAAATACAA